CCAGGAAAAAGAACAAATATTTTTAGCCCTGAGTTTTTTTTTTTAGTTCACAAGGTATCAGTTTTCTCAAAGAGTCTCATCATAGTCTAACTTGCTATGATTTTTTTAAGATGACAAACGGGAGAGGACGCAGTTTTTGCTTTTATTTTTATTTAAATGGAAAGAATAAAAGCAATGACAGCAATCGAATTCCAAAAAGGTTAGAACACAGAATTAAAATATACAGAAAACTCTCCTTCAAGAACACACTAATGAAAATGAAACAATCTGTCTCTGAAGCAAATTAACAGTACACTTAAAAGTACCAGTCCTATCCACTATAGAGATTTTTGACCAGAGGGACTGAGCTAAGATTTTCCCATCACCAATTTTATACCCGTCACCCACTATTACACAACCACTAAACAAAGTCAGCTACAAAATTTAATTTTTTTAAAAAAGGTTGTAATCAGAAAGGAGTTTTATTCCTAACCCTCTTTGTATCAAAACATATTGACACGGATTCAACTCTCCATTATCCTATAGAGGATAAAGCAAAAAGCAAAAAAAAAAATAATCTATGTTTAGTTTTGGAATTCAAGAGATTTTTGAACAAATATCCTTCTGGAATGTTATGGTTAGGTTAATACTAGTTAGCACAAATCCTGATCCAAAAATCATCCAGCCTTTGCAAATTACTTTGCTCAATAGTATTGACTTACTGCTAACAAAATGAGTAACTGTTTAAAGTATGTATTAAATCAGATTTGATTTGCTGTAACTGATCTTTGCCAGTCAGCAATAAAATCAGTTTACATTCTATTTCTACACATCAGCTAAACTTGAAAGGAAGGTAACCTAAACAAGTGCTAAGTGACATAAGAGTGAGAGACTGAAATTTAAAATGCACTATGGAATCTGAGCAGACTCCACAACTGTCTAAATCATCAAACCCAAGGAAAGTCTGAGAAACTGTCACAGTCTAGCAAAGCCTAAGGAAACATGACAATTAAATGTAATATGGGTATCTTAGATGGAATCCTAGGGAAAAAAGGGCTATTAGGCAAAAAAAAAAAAAAAAAAAAAAAAGGAAATTCAAATAAAGTATACACTTTCATTATAATAAAGTATCAATATTGGTTCATTAAAGTTTATTTTTTAAAATACACTGCATGACATAAAGGAGCTAACGAGGTTAAACAAAGGCAATTCTGTATTTTTGTTATTGAATATTCCAGTTAAGAAAAACTGAAAGTTATAATTTTTGAAAAAAGGAATGCTTTCCCTCTTCCCCCACTACCAAGAAAAACAAGGGCAATATTATCACCATAATAAAAAACACTTCAGTAACAAGATGTGGTGGGTGCTGAACCAAACAGAAGGACACTGCCTGTGAGGAGCAGGCTCAAGCTAAATTAACCAGCTTTTTAGCTACCACCTGGGTCCTTCCGGTTCCCCTTTCCTCAGTGCTACACCTCTTGGAACTCAGGACTGCCTCCAGCAGCTGATGCTACCCTGTACTGTCCAGCTGCTCTCTTCTCAGGGGAGCTTAAAGGAAGGAAATAGAGAGCCACAGATGGGAAGAAATGAAAAAGGGGTTAGCTTGAGAGACAGAGGCAGACTAATTACCCCAAGAGGGAGGCAGACGCTGTCCCCAGAGCAAAGAAAAGGGCAAGACAAATATATTCCATCTGAAAAGACCTTATTATTCTTTAAGGTATGTCTGATTTAAGTAACAACACTCTAAAATAAATAACAGATTTTTAAAGAAAGCTAAAACATATAAATACCACTGACTATGCAAACTAAAACAGTGCAGGACAGGCTTTGGAACAGTAAATATGATCACATACCACTCTTAATTGTATTTCAGTTTACTATTTCAATCACTTCCACTCTGATAAATTGTTAAAAGTTATTTATGATAGCAGTGGCTCACGCCTGTAATCCTAGCGCTTTGGGATGCCGAGGCAGGTGGACTGCCTGAGCTCAGAAGTTCAAGACCAGCCTAAGGAAACACGGTGAAACTCCATCTCTACTAAAAATACAAAAACTTAACCAGGCGTGGTGGCATGCGCCTATAATCCCAGCTACTTGGGAGGCTGAGACTGGAGAATCACTTAAACCTGGGAGGTGCAGTGAGCCGAAATCACATCATTACACTTCAGCCTGGGTGACAAAGCGAGACTCCGTCTCGAAAGAAAAAAAAGGTTATATTGGTCGGGCACAGTGGCTCACGCCTGTAACCCCAGCACTTTGGGAGGGTGAGGCAGATGGATCATGAGGTCAGGAGATCAAGACCATGCTGGCTAACACAGTGAAACCCCATCTCTAGTAAAAATACAAAAAATTAGCCAGGCGTGACGGCACATGACTGTAGTCTCAGCTGCTTGGGAGGCTGAGGCACAAGAATCGCTTCCAAAAGGTGGAAGTTGCAGTGAGCCAAGATCGCACCAATGCACTTCAGCCTGGGTAACAGAGCAAGACTCTGCCTTAAGAAAAAAAAAAGTAATTTACTATTCAATAGCATTCAGTACAATCTGACAGCAGTTAAAACCCAACCTCTCAAAATTACTCTTTTTGAGACTGAGTCTCGCTCTGTAGCCCAGGCTGGAGTGCAGTGGCACGATCTCGGCTCACTGCAACCTCTGCCTCTTGGGTCCCAGTTCAAGCAATTCTCCTGCCTCAGCCTCTCAAGTAGCTGGAATTATAGGCATGTGCCACTATGCCCAACTAATTTTTGTAATTTTAGTACAGATGGGGTTTCACCATGTCGGCCAGGCTGGTCTTCAACTCCTGACTTTATGATCCGCCTGCCTCAGCCTCCCAAAATGTTGGGATTACAGGCGTGAGCCACCGTGCCCGGCCCCAAAATTACTTTAATTCACGTTCACAATTACCATCTATTTCAAAGGTACAAGTAACTACCATTTTTGAAAATTATGCTAAAAACCAAAGCTAAAAATATTTAAGACATTTTTCTTAAATGTCTTAAACAAAGACTTTTCTTTCTTTAAGAAAGAAACCTAGTTTCAGTAGAGAAAACGTATCTGACTGGTAACATGAAACCTAGAAAAAAAACTCGACTGTTTCAACAATTTACATCAAAGTGCTCACATCTAACTTTAATAGCCTTTTAACTTTCGCAATATTATTCTAGTATTGTAAAACTAGGCCAGGTGCAGTGGCTCACACTTGTAATCCCAGTACTTTAGGAGGCCGAGATGGGAAGACCACTTGAGGCCAGGAGTTCAAGACCAGCCTGGTCAACACAGTAAGACCCCATCTCTACTTAAAAAGAAAAAAAGAAGAAAAAAATCAAACATTATATATCTCTTAAAACTATCTTTGAGTCTGCAAAGTGTATTTCGTGGAATCTTAAAAAAAGATGTGTTTAGTCTGATTAGATGCTTTGTCAACTTTAAGAAGACCAAAGCCCGTAAGTCAGCATTATAGCTTTTTCAATGTTTTATCAACAAGTATAGTTTATCAATAGTTTACAGTTTTTCAACAATGTTATACAGTCTCCAAACATTCTAGTAAGGTGATTTTTATGAGCACTTAGTGATTAGAATAACTCAAATACTATATCCAAGTCAATGAAAGAGAAAGGAAGCTGGCGGGCTTAGCTTTTGGCATGATGATTAGAAAGCATCGTCTATGCTAAAACTACTATATGTACGTACATCATATGTACGTACATATGTATGTATACACAAACACATCATTTTACACATTTAGAACTACGTTGAACACACAGAACTAAGGACTCTGCGGCAGGCATCTTAGTAGAAAAACTACATAAGCTGGAAAGCTTTCTTAAAGAATTACAATCGCTCCAAAAAATAACACTGGAGAGTGTGTTCATTAGAATGTAAAGAGCAATTATCAAAACAAATGTAACACATACATTCCTACATAATGTTGATCTTACTAAGTACCAGTTCAAGATACAGACATCTATAGTACATTCTACCCAAAAATAAAATAGATGCTATAGGTCAAACGGACAATAATAGAAAGTTCAGAGTACTCAATTTCAAATAAGAACTTTAAAAAAATTATCTAGAAATCCTAAATTTATCTGTCAAGAATCATAAACTATCTTACTGAAGTCTTTGGTATCATATAACATAGAACTAATCATCTACATTCCTATTATCTAAGATTCAGTTAATACTGACTTTGACAGTTTAAAGCTTCAGTAATTATATGAAAAGCTAGTTTCTCTTTCTAAAGTAGCATTTGGTCCTAAAAGTCAAGAAAATAAGGAAGCAATCATATTGATTTGCTCACAATAAAATTGTTTGTGTAACCTTTTAGATTATGATCCCACATCCTATAAAGGCTAAACAAGTTGGCACTTGTCTCTTATTATGTTTGACAGAACAGTGTATGAGTCACTTTCCAAAAATAACTAAATTAACATATGCCTTCATATGTTAATCAAACACAAATGACAGTAACAAAATACTTTTATGCCTTTAAAACACACACACACACACACACACACACACACACACACAGAGAGAGAGAGAGAGAGAGAGAGAGAGAGAGAGAGAGAGAGAGAGAGAGAGAGATACATTTCCAGTACCTTTAGAAATATCTGCCTATTCATGCAAAAGACTCAACTTCAGCAGTGGCTGAAATTACTCAAAAGTTACATTTGGCTTCAAAACTATTACATGACTTTGTTAGGACTTTGTTTCCTGATTCTACTTTTTCAGATTAATATAACATGCCTCCCTTGGGCCCTAACTACCTGTGAGGAAGAGGGGTGGTGGAAGGAGAAAGTCATTCAAGCATTAAAAACTCAGCTATAACAACATGGATAATATAAGTAAAATAAAATAATCATGGTGAAATAAAACATGAAGCTGAATTTTTATCTGGCCTCCTACCTCAGTGGCGTGATGATTAGAAAGCATCCTCTAACAAACAAACTGAATTTGTAATACAAATAATATTTTGGGAGAAGTATACAATGTTGCTATATCATTAGAATGGTAAGTTGCTTTCACCTGCTAAGTCATGGTGAATAAGGTCAGCAAAATTGGGGTCTTCACCCCACCAAAATATCCACAATTCTCTTCTTCCAGGTCTTTGATCTCGCCGCCAAACACCAAGTACATCTGCCTTAAGGCAGCGACTAAAACTGCTCAAAATGGGGTCTTCTTCTGTCACAGGAAACAGAATAGGGGCAGAAGTTGGGCCTTGCCATACATATCTTTTCCATTTAATTCCCGTCAAGTCAGCCTGAAGGAAAGAAAGCATGATGTTTTATTATTGCACATACACTCGAAGTCAAAAGTACTCAGTATGACGTCTCTTATTTCATTAAGGCATTACAATTTTTCAATGTATGCTAGAGACATTGAATGCAAATTAGGACAAAAAAAGATTTTATAATTCAACAACCAAGAATTTTAGGGAAAAGAAGAGTGTTAAAAATTAACAACCACCACCATGTCACTGATTAATAAGCAAATATGTACCCCAGTAGAGACAAAAGAAACTGAATGAAGTTAAATATAGACGTACACTTCAATATGTACACAGAACATACATTTTTCTCTGCCCTAACTGGTCACATTTGTTCATTGGTGTGAAACTTTTAACTGAGAATCAATGATTAAAGACCCTAACATGAGTTTTTATTCCACATTTGCAGAAGTAATGTCTCTAACAAAAAGACATCTGAACAAGTCCTGAAAAAAATCCATGTGAATTCTTCACACACACACCGAATCGGAAAAGTCAAATAGCCGCTCACAAAGAACTGTGAGATTTGTGCTAGTCTATCTTCAAAGAACCTGATCCTAAAAGTACCAAAAATAGACTGAGATGGATAAGATAGAAATATAAAACCTGGTGTATGTCTTACTATATGTGAAGAGATGCTGATTAACGGACACTGAAAAGAAAAACATATTGTATAAGAGTATTAAAGATCTCAATTTAGCATCCGGAAAGAAATTCGACAAGAGGAATTCAATAATTATTTAATCTAACTTAAAGGAGCAAAGCATAAGGTGCCAAAAATGAAACTGCTGATACATGACTGGCAGTTTACACTTGCCAACTAGTTGTGCTCCGCCCACTTGACTCACTTACCTATCATATACTCTTTTAATACTTCTCACAGCACAAGGGAGAAGATGAAAAAATAAAGTCACGCAAACTTAAAGTCATTGATGAAGCTCAGCTACTGTCCCATACAGGACAAGTTATTTGCAACAGTTGGTACTTTTGAAAGTCGTTTAACTGTTGGATGTTACCAGACCCGAGCTAACCTACACAATGGTCATCCCTACATCCAGCTTCCCCCGACTTTCCATTTCAATCAAACAAGGAGCAGCATGCTCAAAACGTTCTAAAAAAGCAAGCAAAACACAATAAATGTATAAACAGTGCAAAAATCACAGCACCTCGTCCATCAGCCCCCTCCACTCTCACAAAAACATTATATTCTAATAAAAGCAAGATGGCTAGAAATTGTCAAAAATGGCAAACTGTTTTCAAAGTTTAAAAAGAAAACATATCAAATGGCACCCACTGGTTTTTACAGAGAGATCTGAAGTCACCCAAAGAAGAAACTAATCTTGCCTTAGCTTGACTTACACCAAAAAAAAAAAAAAAGTAAAACGAAGACAGGTTTCTAGGGCATAAGTTCTGAGGTCCTGTTTACATGGAGAAACCAAATTACCAGGGTGAGACATAAAGGCAGTGGGGAGCAGGGGCAATAATGGAAAGCGTGAAACAGGGATACAGTACGGAGCCAATAAGGAAAAAAGCAACAGTTAAGCAAGACAGAGGGAAAGGTTAGTGTCCTGCCAGATCAGGAGCCCAAGTTGAGGACGAGACTAGGGTGAGAGAAGAGTCCGAAACAAGACGAGAAAAAATGCCAACACTCCCCAAACAGAGCCCGGCACCGTGGGAGAGCGAACGCCGTCTCCTGGGGTTGCCCGCGGAGCTTCGCAGGGCGCCGGCTCCGGCTGGGCCTCGCCCGGGGACTCGGGCATCAGGACCAGACCCGGCCCCCTCCCCCACGGCCCAAGGGCGCACCTCGCGGCCCCCTCCCTCGGCGCCCGCCGGCCCCGGCACTCACCAGGCAGAAGAGGTTACAGTGACAATCTTCCAGGCTGGCCCCGTTCGGCACGAAGGAGGCACTCATCGTCCCTCACAGCAGCCGCCGCCGGCGCCACAACCCACCATCCGCCATTACCGCCGCCTCCGACCAGAGAGAGAAACACAGACACCGGGGAGGGCGGGGGGGGGGGTAGTGGTTGGGGGGGCGGTGGAAGAGGAGGCCGCCGGGCCGCCCGCCCTCCCCACCCACCCCCCGCCGCCGCCGCCGCCGCCGGGAGCAGCCCCCGCCGCCCGGCCGGCACCCAGCCGCCCGGGGCCGAGGGCCGGAGGCGGGAGGGCCGCGCCGCGCTCGCCTGGCGGGCCGGACTGCGGAGCCCGCGGACGCTGGTCCCTCTCCGGGGGACGGATGGGATGTGTGCCCCTACCGCAAAAAAATAATAAATTACACAATAAATAATCAAAATCGAGTCCAAGACGGCAGAGCCCAAGCCCTGGAGGGTTCTCCCGGGCGGGGAGGCGCCCGCACAGGGGCGGGAAGGGCGAGAACCGGGAGAGAAGCCCAGGCCCCCGGCCCGGCAGCAGCGATGTCCTTAAGCCCAGAGTCTCCTCAGCGGCGGAGGTGGTGGCGGCGTCTGCGGGCTCACACCATTCTCTGGCTCTGTCTCCGTGTCGTCCCCGAGCCGAGCCGGCCTAACGTCTGCCCTCCTGCGGCCTCACCGCCTGGACGCCGTAGTCTCCCCCATTTTGTGGGCCCAGCGGGCGGTGTTTTTCCCCCTTTAATCCGAATTCACGGGTTTTCCCTTCGCTTTAATGGCGGCCACAGGGACCAGCTCGCCCTCTCTGCTCGCCCATTGGCCGCCTTGAGGTCACGTGGGCCCGGGCTCCGTGGGGAGGGGGAGAGAGAAGTGAGCGAGGGAGCGCCGGGAAGCTTTCGGCCGAGGCGGTGAGCCCCGGGGACGGGGCAGCCAGCTGGTGGCTACTAACACAGCGCCATCTGCTGGGTGCCCCGGCCAGTGTAAAATGACCCGGGGCCCTGGCCCTGTATTTGCAAGGAAATTTACAGTCCAGGAAGGTTCATTTCACAAATCAGTGAGAATTACGTAGAAATCAGCTTGAGTTCTTTGGAAGAGAAAGTGTTGGCAAAAATTCCAAGACATTCTCATTTATTTCGCGAGGCTGCTGGGGTGCAGCGCAAACCAAACTTGGGAGTCAGACGATCTGGATGGAGACAAGACTCAGCCACCTTAAAGTTGTGATATGAAGATAGAAACTTAAGAAACAAAATATTGCCCTGTAGTTAATAGGCTGGGAATTAGAGCCACACTGCCTGGGTTCCACGCTTGAGCAAGTCACTTCCTGCTCTGTGTCTGTGTCCTCATCTGTAAAATGGGGAAAACATACCCCTTACCCCACAGGCTTATTGTAATAAGTTAATACAAATTAAGCAGGTTGCCCAGTGCCCTGCACAGATAAGCATTGTTAAGAGTTAACTATTATTGTTGTCATCATTACCTCATATAGTTATTGTGAGGAGCAGGAGAACTAGTGTATGTAAAGGTCTCAGTACTTTTTTTTGTTTACTTGTGTCTCTCTAGTGCCTAAAAAAAGATCCTAGCACACAGTAGGTGCTTGGTATTTGTATATTTACAAATGACTGGGTGTTAAGAAGTAAGAACCAAGCAAAAGATTCCTTCTCTTTCCCATAAAACACCCAGTGCTTGGCTGGTTTACATTTCAATATAAGAGTTCAAGACAGTTTCTCTGAGGGTTGTAGGATTACATGAAACGAAGAAGAAAAATATGATTCAGAAGTTAGAAACATCGGTGAGTTAGATCTTTAAGTATTACAGATAATTTTAAGTATTACAGATACATAATTATGTATTATGTATTACAGATACATAACTGTATCTGTAAAATGAATGGTAAACTCTTCTATATCACTTCTTCAGTCATAAAATGAAAAGAAGTTCTCATTCATCCATTTATTCATCTGTGGTGGGGAAGAGCCCAGATCTGAAGCCCAAAGCCTGGAGAAAAAGTTCTGCCCCTCACTAGATAGCCTGAGATCAAATTTGACCTTAGATCAAATTAATTTCTCTTACTCTCAGTTATTATAAAATGGGGGTAATAAAAGTACTTTTCTCCTAAAGTGCCTGGTGAATGAAACAATGTAGATACAGTGCTTGCCACAGTGCTTACTTAATGTTAATTATTAATATAATTTTTTAAAAAAATTATTGAGAACCTGCTGGCTCAATTGAGTGTGTTCGTGCTCTAGGCCTAGGATACAAATAGGAATAAGATACCCGCCTGTCCCTCAAGATTCCTGAAGAGAGGTACTAAAGGAAACATTTCCTACAGAATAAGGTAAAATACAACGGGATAGTTGCTTGAATGAGGTATGTATCTACTATGCCACAATAAGAGCACCAGAAGAAGAACATCAAAGTCAGAGAAGGCGTCATAAAGTAGGTAGCATTTGAAATCAGATTTGAAGGAAAAAATGAATTCTTATAAAGCCCTTTGAAGCAATTAAATCTTATTAAACCTAATTCAAACCCAAAGTCCACATATCTAAGTCAATTATGCAACCAGGACTCATTCAATCCAGGAGCTCAAATCAACTTTATAACTGAGTGCCGGCACCAGGAGACAGCAATCCCCAGATCCGATGAGGTAAGGGCTCCTCTACTCATTTCCCTTTCCCTGAGAGACTGCTCGGATCTTTGTTCCACTGCTTTCCTCAGGCTGAAACGCCTTCCTCGACCTCACATCTAAAAGGGTCTCCATTCTCCAAAATGTTGCCCTCCCATTGCCTGGACCCCCTGACTTGAGCACCATCCTCAGGACCCCAGTGGCAGGTAGAATCTACTCAAAACCTACCAGGTAGGAAGTAACATTTGATTGACTTTTCTGTTTGAATGTCAATCTTTTCAAAAAGAAGGGGGAGACAGGGAGACAGAAGCGAAGAAAGGAGGAAGACCCAGAAGAAGAGGTCGGACAGAGGATTGCAGAAGGGAGCAGAAGAGACAGAGAGACAGGACTAAGAGAACGGAGAAGCATAGTGGAATAGAGGGAGATCCCAGTTGTGAGGGGAATGGAATCATGGGGAGGAGGGAAAGAGAAGAAATAAATATTTTCAGCCCACAAAGAATATATCAGTAACCACTTATATTCTGTAAAAATGACATTTTGTGTTATTTAAAGAGTAATTTATGGACTTTGGATGATGATGATGTGTCAATGTAGGTTCATCAGTTGTGGTAAATGTACCATTTTGGTGGGAGATGTTGATGGTGAGGAAGGCTATGCATGTGTTGGGGCAGGAGTTATATGGGATTTTTAGGAAGAAATGGAAATAAATAAAAATGTTACACACACATTGTTGGCTGGGCACGGTGGCTCATGCCTGTAATCCCAGCACTTTGGAAAGCCAAGGCAGGTGGATCACCTGAGTTCAGGAGTTCAAGACCAGCCTGGCCAATATGGTGAAACCCTGTCTTTACTAAAAATACAAAAATTAGCCGGGCGTGGTGGCAGATACCTGTAATCCCAGCTACTTGGGAGGCTGAGGCAGGAGAATCAATTGAACCTGGGAAGTGGAAGTTGCAGTGAGCCGAGATCCTGCCACTGCACTCCAGCCTGGGCAACAGAGGGAGACTCTGTCTCAAAATAAGTAAATAAAAACATTACACACACATTGTCAAAAGTTTGGCAGATACATAAAAGCATAAAGATGAAAATTTTAAATGTACATTACCCAAAGAAGTCCATAACATCCATTCATAATTAATCACTTTTTAACATTTTGATGTATTTCGTTCCAGATTTTCCCTATATATATTTTTCCTACATGGTTGAGATCATACTATATAACCAGTTAACTACACACATTTATTAACCATCTAGTATGTGTCAGGTCATGTGTTGACAAAATAGAGCATGTACAAGTAGCTCGTAATCTTTCTTACAATGGCTCTTGGAAAGTTAGACCAACTGGGATCAAAACTCCATGCTTGGCTTGGCACAGTGGCTCATGCGTATAATCCCAGCCCTTTGAGAGGCTGAGGCAGGCAGATTGCTTGAGCCCAAGACTTTGAGACCAACCTGGGCAGCATGACGAAAACCCCACCCCAACAGCAAAAATATAAAAATTAGCTGGGCGTGATGACACGACCTGAAATCCCAGCTACTCGGGAGGTAGAAGTGGAGAGATGGATTGAGCCTGGGAGGTGAAGATTGCAGTGGGTTGAAATTGCACCACTGCACTCAGCCTGGGTGACAGAGTGAGACCCTGTCTCAAAAAGCAAGCAAGCAAACAAACAGATCTTCATGCTTGCTAGCTCCCTAACTTCAATTTACCCCTTTGTAAAATGTGTATGTAACAATAGCACCTAAATGTCAGAGTTGTTGCAATGATTAAAAGGGATAATCCAAGTAAAACAGGACCCAACTGGGAATTTTAAGGTCAATTTTAGAGGTTACTTTGGGTCAATAATCTGGGTCAATAATCACCGATTGTCTTCTATTCTTTGAAATGTGGATTCACTCAATGTTCTGCATTCAAAACTGTTCTGTAACCCCTTCGACCTTGTAGGGGCTCCATCCTGAATGAGACGGTGGAGGCACTGGCTTGCAAACTACCACTTGGCCTCCAGGAAGGTGACAGAGTTACATCACCTGAGACAGACAAGTCCAGGAAAGGGCACCTGATGCTCCACATGTGATTCTGAAAAATCTGCAAGGTCTAGAGCAGCACTGTCCAATACAAATGCAATGAGAGCTAAAACCTATTTAAATGAAAAATAAAATTAAAAAAAAAGATGCAATGAGAGCTAAATAAGTAACTTGAATTTTTTCCGTAACCATGTTAAAGAAGTAAAAATTAAGGCCTGGCACGGTGGCTCATGCCTGTAATCCCAGCACTTTGGGAGGCTAAGGCAAGTGGATCACAAGGTCAGGAGTTCGAGACCAGCCTGGCCAACATGGTGAAACCCCATCTCTACTAAAAATACAAAAGTTAGCTGGGCATGGTAGCACACACCTGTGGTCCCAGCTACTCGAGAGGCTGGGCAAGAGAATCGCTGGAACCCGGTAGGCAGAGATTGCAGTGATCTGGGATCACTGAGATGACACTGCACTCCAGCTTGTGTGACACAGTGAGACTCTGTCTCAAAAAAAAAAGTAAAAACTAACAAGTGAAATTAATATAAAGTACACATACTTTATTTATCTCAGTATGTCAGAATCATTATCATTTTACATGTAGTGAATATAAAAAATAATTGAGATAGTTTGCATTCCTTTTTTTAATCAGATCTTCAAAATCCACACTTATTTGCCCTTATAGCACATTTCCGTTTTAACTAGAAGATTTCAAGTGCCCATCAGCCATTTGCAACTAGTGGCTACTGTGTTGGAGAGTACAAGCTTAGAGTCAAAAGCTGAAAGCTAAGGACCAATTAAGCTGTGGAGTGAGTGGTCTTGAGCCTGGGGACGATATTGATTTTCTTAAGGTCATTTTAATGGTTTAATGTTGTACTTAATTCAATAGAAAAAAAGGCTAAGAAGTTGCAAACCATCTTATTTCATGAGTGCGCAGACCCTACTTCACTGAATATAGCAATAAACAGACCTGAAAGAAATCAGCAGGTTGAGAAACTTAAGAAAACATTTCAATTCTAAGTATCAAATATCCTGAGTTTCTCAAAAGTTGCTGACTTGCCATTTTTCTCAGTAGTGTAGCATCCACTCTCAACCTTAAGTTTTATTTCATTTTAATTATTTCATTTTAATATTAAAATCAACTTCCCCTCATTTTCTTACTTTGAAATTAGGTTTGTAAATCATGCA